GGACCAAGTCAGCAGCGGCATAGCTGCTTTGGGCTGTCCTTTGGACATCAGCGCAGCACCATAGCTGCTTGGGTTGTCCTTTGGACATCAGCGCAACACCCTAGCTGCTTGGGGTAGTCCCCCATAGCCTATGCATAAGAGAGGAGGCTGATGGAGGGAAGCCATAGCTATGGTGGACTGGTTGTTGTTGTTGTTGTTGTTGTTGTTGTTGTTGTTGTTGTTGTTGTTGAGTTGAGTCAGCAATAAGAGGGAACTTCGGATATTGATTCTGGTTCATCCATTCATTGTTATTATTATTATTGAGAGAAGAATAAGATTGGTGAAGAGGAGGAGGAGGAGGAAGGTGGAGAGAGAGAGAAGGGGGAATTGTCATTGGTCTTGCTGGTGTACTACTTCTTCTTCTTCTTCTTCTTCTTCTTTCTCTCTCCTCTGGTCTTTATCTCTTTGCAAGTGCTTTCATTTCTTTCGCAATCAGGTGGCATTGTCTTTCATTATGAATTTGCACTTGGGAAATGACCAGGATCGTAACAATCGGTATCGGAGCGGACTTACTTGCTGGCGAGAGGTGTTAGTCACCCTAAACCTAATTCCGAATGAGGTCAGGGCTAACCTAACTTCGAATTAGGGTTGGAAGTTAGGGTTAAGTGGGGCAGTGAGGTATGTGGATACTGCCCCCACCTGGTTAGGTCATGTAAAGTCGACATTTGACCTGACCAGGTTGGGTGAGTGAATGGATGGGGTGGCGAGACACAAAGGAGGCTGATTGGAGTAAGCGAGAGGGATTAGAGAGTGAGAGGTACTCGCACCTGGAATCTGCACTTCAACAAGACATTGAGTGACTTTTGGGCTTCCCCTCAAGAGGGAGACTTGATCGGAAGCCCATATCTGCATCGAATTGCTGCAAGTTGCTACTTTGGTCTTCAGACATCGACGGGGGATCCGGCTTTGCAACAAGGGTGTAGGAAGACCCTCTTAGTCATGCTAGGACACTTCGTGTAGTGGTAGCTAGGGGTCAGGAGGACTTATGAGAGAGGGGGGTGACTCGTTATCCATCTTTGGAGGCCGGGCCTCACAGGTAAGTGTCGTGTGACCTGGTTATGCCCGTGGGAGGTTGCTTGGTACTTCATGGCCTGTTGGGGGTGTGCTGGGCTCTCTTCCTCTTCTCTGAGGTCTTGCTTGTGTGTGTGAGCTTGTGGATTGCTTTCTCACCTGATGGATGGATGGATGATGTATCTGCTCTAAATGACATATCTTTCTACGGTGCAATGTCTTTTCATTTCTGAATGGTTGTAGGGGTAAGTTCTTGCTAAAAGTTGTCTTTTCCTTTTCAGTACGGTAAAGGCATTTTGGGACCGACTTGGTACCCCTATCTCGTTGGACCTGGTCCATGACCTACTTGGGACCTTTTGGGACTCGGTGGGACCAGGCCCAACGGGACAGGACCTTTTGGGCCCAAATCTGTTGCCGCCTGTGCATCTCTTTGCTGCGCTGAACTTGGGGGCCATACGGCTAGCAAGGGCATTCCTTTCAAGGGGATCTTGACTGGTCTTACCGCCTGTTATCACATACTGCCCCGCGTCTGACTCAGCGATCGTCTGCACCCCTCGAAATCTCCATTGGTGCAGACTGATTTATTGTGATGCATGTCCCTTGTCAGGTTAGACAAGAGGGGATCTCCAACTGATCTGATCGGGCCCGTTCTACAAATCAGTCCTCTCTTCTGTTTTATTATTTATTAATTTATTTATTCTTTTGTTGCGTGCCATTCTCTAAGTCCAAATGATTCGCCGCTCCGGCTAGGAGTTCTACTTCTTCTCTGTGTGACTTTCTGCTTGTTTCTTTCATCTAACTACCTATGTCCGGTATCGAGACGCGTGCGCAGACAGCGAGAAGAGAAGAAAGGGAGAGAGAAGGTGTTCTGTTTGAGAGTGTGAGGAGGGGCAAGAGGAATGTTCGTCCAAACGTGAGAAGAGAGCGGACCCCTCTTGAGAGATCTGCTAACACCCCTTCCTCTGGCATGGTAGACATTACATCTGCCCAATGGCGGGCCATGCTGGACGCAGCGGACGAGGACGGGAAACCGTTCTTTCAAAAGTTGTATGATGACGCCGTACAGAGGGAAAGGGAGGCAGAGGCAGCAGCCAGAGCTACAAGCATAGCTGCTCAGGTGGCCCTCCTACAGGTCCCGGAAGCCAATGCTGACCGGTTCCAGGAGAGGCTAGCTGCTGCCGTAGCAGCCTTGGTTCAACTGCGGAACTTGGAAGACCTTGAGTCCCGTGTAACAGCGCTGGAGCAGCGGAACTAAGAGCTTCAGGATGAGATATTCAGCCTCAAACAGTCCCAACTGTCTGCCCCCCGTCCTCCTAACCCTTGATCTCCTGCAGTCCCAGTCTCTCAATCCAACACAGTCCTCATGGCAAGAGCAAGTGGAACTGTGGCAAGCGCAGGCACCGGTGCCAGCTCCTTGAGCAGGAGCGTCGGCAGCTCTGCACTAGTCTTGTCCCGAATGCAGGGACATCAGCCCAAAACACCACAGTCCTTACTGGCGTTCAGTACAACAGTCCCGTAGTGGACAAGAGGGCGGCCACTCTGCCGTCCAAGTACGACGGGAAAGCGGACATCACCTCTTGGATTAGTTCCATGCGGTCATACTTCGAGGTCATGCAGACACCGCAAGAGGACCGAAGCATGATCATGGGGACTAATACCGAGCCCGCCGTACAAAACCACATTGAGCTCCAAGCTGTTGCTGCAGGTTATGAAAGAATTGACCTGACTGAGTGGCTGAAAGTAACCCCTGTACGCACCCTTGAGGACCTTCTCATCACACGGTACCAAGACAAGCATGCTGCGCTCAAGGCTAGGCTGAAGCTTGAGGCCCTCAAGGGCCAAACATGGAGGTCATCCATGCAAGCTTTGGAACAGCACTTGACTGGTCTGTTCACCACTCCAGATCTGGGAATGACTGACGTGTCTTGTACGGATGTGGTCATGGGAGTGGCCCCTAAAGAATACCTGTCCCTGTTGGAACTCAAAGACCATACCACCTGGCGAAAGCTCATGACGGATCTAGTCAACCTAGAGGCCAAGGACCTCGCCAGGCGGAAGAAGGCGCCCGCTGCAGGTGGGAAACCACAACGCAAGCGGTTTGGAAGCAGCAACCAGCTTGCACTGCATCAGTCCTACACGAATGATCTGTCTCTAGATGACGATCTAGAGCCGGACTCCGGTATGGGCTGTTCCTCATCAGCCATTGAGTCTGACATAAACAAAGATGAAAAACTTAATGCTTTTAGAAAGACTGCTTCAAACAAGGGGCCTAACCGTGGTTCAGGTAAGGGAACTGTTGTCCACCTCCCCAAAAATGCAAAGATCCCTGAGAAACCGGAGGACGCATCTACCAAGCCTTGGGAAGCCCTCCGTATCAGTCAAAAGGAATGGGAAAGAAGATCTAAACTGCGCATATGCCTGCATTGTCAAAAGCCTGGGCATGCTGTGTAGGACTGTTATAGACTTCAGGGAAACAAGCAAAGGGCGTAGAGGAGTCCTCAGCACTCCCTACAACAAGGGAAGCTGGAACATCAGTTGCAGGCCCCTCTAATGAGCCTGCATCTGATCAACAGCCTACTCTTGAAGCCCGGAACGACGCTGATTCCAAGGCTGTTGCAGTTCATGTGCTATACACTGAACCTTGGGAGGAGTCTAAGGAAGTTGATTTCCACCCTCACATGGAACATTGGCTGCAGCTCAAGCAGCAACGTCGTGTTCAGGGGAGTGTGGAACTAACCTTCTTTAAACTGCTCGTTAACCGCCGTTACATCCGCGTGCTGATTGATAGTGTTCAACCACTAACTTCTTTTCCCCTAACGGGATTCGTAAGGCGGGCCTGGGAATGAAGCAAGTGGAACTGCAAAACCCTTGTCAGACCCAAGTGGGCAACCAAGAGGTTGTCACCTCTACACATGTTGTCAAAGGTGTGCGCGCCACCTTTGACAAGGACCGCACTGTCACACATGAGCTCAACTTCTATGTCATGGACAAGTGTTCATTCGACGCGGTCATTGGCTTGGGCTGGTTAAAGGCTCATTGCCCAAGGACCACGTGGGCGGACAACCAGTTCGTGGTGCGTGATGCCAAGGGGAACGAGCTTACCGTCCTATTGGATGAGACGTGCGAGTCCCCTGTGACTCTTCTAAGTGCAACCAAATTCTGCAAATCAGTGCGCAGGCGCAAGGAGATTGAGCATGTACATGTAGCTTTTGTAAAGCTTATCCATGTGCCTTCTACTTTTGCTGCGTTTTCTACCTCGGTAAGTAACTCTACTTCTAATCAATCTTCTTCTACTGTGAATAATCCTTCTACTTCTAATCCAAGTACTTCTAATCCGGTTGTCATTGCTGTAAATTCTCAGTCTAATTTTCTTTCTCTTGATGAGGATGATCCACCACCGGAAGTCCCAACAAACATTCGCCAGCTATTAGATCGATTCCCCGAAGTTTTGGTCGAACCTCGTGGAGTTCCCGAGCGTCCGGTCAAACACAAAATCGAGATAATAGAGGGGAGTGTTCCTCCAAAGGGATGCGTCTACCGTATGGGACAAGGCGAGTTGGAGGAGTTCAGGAGGCAGATTGATGATATGATTGACCGTGGATGGATTAGGCCCAGTGAGTCTGAAGTCGGTGCACCTGTCCTGTTTGTGCCAAAGAAAGGAGGCAAACTCCGGATGTATATTGACTATCGTGGCCTTAATCGGATCACAAGAAAGAATGCTTACCCTTTGCCTCGCATAGATGATCTGCTAGATGCGGCAGGTGGGTGCAAGGTCTTCTCCAAGATCGACCTCAAATCTGGTTACTACCAGATTGAAGTTGATCCGAGCGACCAGCACAAGACTGCATTCAAAACACGCGATGGGCTGTACGAGTTCATCGTTATGCCCTTCGGTCTTACGAATGCACCGGCCACATTTCAGTGCCTCATGGACAAGGTACTTCGCCATCAACTCAACAGGTCTGTGGTTGTGTACCTTGACGATATCCTGATCCATGGAAGAGCACCTCAAGCACCTTGAGGAAGTTTTGCAGGTCCTCAAGGAGGCGCAGTTGCACCTCAACTTAGAGAAATCTGAGTTTGGGAGGGACAACGTCATCTATCTTGGACACCGGTTGTCTGCAAACGGCCTTGAGCCGGAGGCAACCAAGGTTGAGGTCATCCGAAACTGGCCTCGTATTACCGTAAGTTTGTGCCCAAATTCTCTGTCATTGCTCACCCTCTCTCAAGACTAACCAGCAAGAATGCTGCCTATGCATGGTGTGAGAAGTGTGAGACTGCGTTCCAAGCCTTGAAAGAGGCATTGGTGAGTCATCCTGTGCTTCGCATTGCGGATCCCAACCTCACTTTCGTAGTCACTACGGATGCGAGCCAGTTCGGGATTGGTGCAGTGTTGCAACAAGATGATGGTGATGGCCTGCGTCCGCTCGAGTACTACAGCAAACGCATGCCCAGCCACAAGGTAGCTACTTCCACATATATGCGTGAGCTCTACGCCCTGCGCGAGGCTCTCGCACAATGGAAGCACTACCTCTTGGGTCGCCACTTCAAGGTCTACTAAGATCATCAGACCTTGCAGTGGATTCAGACACAATCTGAACTTTCTCCTACATTGACCTGCTGGTTGCATGACATTGATGTCTATAGCTTTGAATTGAAACACAAGGAAGGCTGTTATAACCGGGTTGCTGATGCGCTGTCTCGCCATCCTGAATTTTTGACTTGCCTCGTGGGTTCGTATCACCTCCGAAGGAAACTGAAGGAGGATCTGGTCGAACACACCGCCAAGGATCCGGACCTTAGTCCCATTTTTGAGCAGCTCACAGCAGACCCTAATAGTCAGCCTGATTTTCATGAATGTGAGGGTCTTGTGCTCCGCCGGTATGGGAAATTTGATCGTTTGTGTGTACCCAACCATGCGCCTCTCCGAACTCATTTCTTGGATTTGGCACATGGTCGGAGTGGACATTTCGGCTTTGCGAAGACTTATGGAAGTCTTCTGCAGCAGTTTGATTGGCCAGGCATGAAAGGATCTGCTCAGAAATTTATTGCTGAATGTCAGGTATGTCAAAGAACAAAGGTCCACAGGCATAAGCCTTATGGCCTGCTGAGACCTCTCCCCATTCCTGATGGACCCGGTGAGTCGATTTCCATCGACTTCACGGACATGGGAAAGGTGAGTGAGGCTGGAAATTCACTAGTCATGGTCATCGTGGATCGTTTTTCCAAAATTTTGAACTTGATTCCTTTCCCTCCCCATACCCCGACTGAACTTGTCATTGAAGAATTCCATCAGCAGTACATTCTGCAGTTTGGCGTCCCGAAGACTATTGTGAGTTATCGGGACACCAGATTCATCAACAAAGATTGGAAGGACTTCACCTCTCAAATCTATGACATTAAACTGAACAAGACTTCTGGTCGACACCCCGAAGCCAATGGATTGGCAGAGGAGATCAACCAGACTGTCATCCAACTACTTCGCGCATTGATTGTGCCAGATCAGAACACGTGGGACAAGGAGCTGCACAAAGTGAAGGGACTGTATAACTCCATCCACTCTGCAACTGGCGTGATGCCAAACCAGTTGCAATCTGGATGGCCGATGTGTAATCCCCTCTCCTATCTGTTCCCCGAACGGTCACTTGGTCTGATGCCCGACATGCCTGGCTACAATGCCAAGTACGCACGCTTGCTCAAAGCTGTTATTGCAGCCATGAACAAGCGCCAACATGCCATGAACAAACATGCCAACAAGTTGCGTAGAGAAGAAAAATTCAAAGTAGGGGATTATGTTTGGGTCAAAATGTCTGAGTTTTCTGATGAAGAGGGCGTATCACGGAAGCTTTTTCCATTGTAGTATGGCCCTTGGCAGATTCTGAAGGTGATTGGGGATGATTTTGGTCCTTCATTTGTGATCGACATGAGAATCATTTCTCACGAGGGAAGAGGGAGGAACAGACAGTACAAAGTTCACTTCCTCTATCACCCGTTGACTAAATTCTTCTGGATTGACCGAAAAGAGCTGCTAAAGAATGCTCCCCGTGTTGTGAACACTTATGAACGACAGATCGTTGAGGGACAAACTGCTAAATTTGTTGCCACAATGACTCCTCACGGACTTACTAAGTCTCTCTTTCTTATCTACTCTTATGATGCATTTTGTGCCAACTCTGAATGAGTTACTCGCTCGAAGGGACCTCGCTCTTGAGAGGGGGGTAATGTAATGACCCGCCAAAAACACAGACTGAGAACACTGCTGATTTCTGGGATTTGCCGCTGGAATGAATGCCTTGCTGAAATTCCCGCATTCTGCTGTGATTCCCATGTCTATGTGTGTGCGTGCCTGCTGGTTTGCATGCCTGTCTGAGTGCTTGTCGGTTGAGTGTGTGTATGACCCGCAAGGGTACTTGTTGGTTGAAGGGCCCCGCAGGGCCGGTACTTACCTATGGCCGTGACTTTGAGGGTTGCAGGGGGGAAAACACTCAAGTAGCGGGGGTAGGCCCGCAACACTTAGAACAGCGGGGAAAAACACTCAAGTAGCAGGTAGGCCGATACCACTCAAGTAGTGGTAGGGGTGTCGGGTACAGGAGGTCGAGCAGAAGAAGACAAAAGTTGGCATTTTTAGAGGCCCAATAGCGGTAGGATAGCGGTAGGCCGGTACCAGTCCAAGTAGCCCGGGTCTAGGGCCTGTACGGAGGATAGCAGAGCCTGCAATGATGTTTCCCTCCGAAAGGGAGGAGGTAC